AGAATTCAACGATTTTTCAATAGGTAGGTAATTCGAACCGATTGAATAATCTATGTCTCTTATGTCTATACAGGGTGTCCGTTTTTCGAGCTTCACCATGGGGATCTCAGTAATTATAAGAGATACGAAGTCGGTTAAATTTATCTGCAAGAAAATTCGATGTGTCATTTTCAGTTAAATTATTCGAAAAAAACAAAAACATTCATTGGGAACTATGAAATATTTGATTTTCAAAACTGTATCGGTCGATATTGATGAGTTGAGAAGAAGGAAGAGGACTAAGGATAAGAAGACGGGACGCGAGCGATTCAGAATCTGAGGAAACGCGTATAATTGTGTTTAGACTTTGTTTTGTTTCGCGAATAAACAACTTCTAGCTCATTACGTCGTTCCTAATTGAAATCCATAGATGAGCTTGACGGAAATGTGAACGTTCCAGATCCAAATTCGAATAAACTGTCGAAATTCAGCTTGTTAAGCAAAACTGTTGGCGTTCTTTCCAAAGCACTCTTCGCAACAAATGGTTTTTTCCCAATTTTGACCAACAGGAAATATTCGATCATATCATGTGATACATCATTGTAATCAGAAAAAACAAGAATGTTAAAATCCAATATGGCATCCATTAAAAAAACAAAGTTGTGTGTTGTAACTTTGACATCAAGAACTTCATGGAAAATACAATGACAGATTCAGATGCCATGAAAAGAAGTGCCTTGAGAATGTGCTAGTCAGAAACGTCTAGGTCTTTTGGTTTCCGCTTGAAAAAATAAAAACGAAAATTAAAAATTTTCGTTTTCTTCCAATGATTCAAAAACTGAAAATGACACATCAAATTTTCTTGCAGAATTTAACCGACCTCGTATCTCTTATTATAACTGAGATTCCCGTGGTGGAGCTCGAGAAACGGACACCCTGTAGACCCGATGAAGACTATTTAAATACCATTTTGCATTCCATTTTCTATCACATGCAGACATGCGCATGATATGAGGTGACGAAACTGATGACAAGCTGATAATCCGTACTTGGGACTCAAAACACAAGCATTACACCGATGATGTTGATGCATCGAAAACAATTCTGATATTCAAATAACAGAAATTGTTTTTCTATTTACAGAGTGAGTCATGAGGAATTATACATAATTACTACTACCATGTATGTACAGAGTTGTGTTTATTGGGGAAATATCGAATGAATTGGCACATGTATAGGTACAGTCATCTTCAGAGAACATGTCGCACATGGAAGGTGTCAGCTCTCTTAGTCACCGCTGCAGTAAGAGCGCTCATACCGTCCAACCGCGACATGTTCACTGAAGACGAGTGTACTTTTGAATGATTTATGAATAAATCTCGGTGTCTATTTATATTGTTATTGAACGTGAATTGAAAGGTTTTTTGCACTAATCATGCGATGGTTTTTTTTTTGAAAATGTTTTGGGGAATCACGCATTTTTGTCTCAAAAATACGAATTTGATAATGAAAATGTGAACAAACCACAATTTATCGAAATATCTCACGACAGGATATGGTATCTTTAATAATAACAAATTTACCAATGGCTGCGTACACTTAATTTGGATAACCCTCGATACAAGAATTTTCACGTTTGACATACCATCCCGGTCCTTCACAAGCCAAAACCTTGCGCAAACCTCTAAAACTAATTATTACAATAAACAATCGTGCATAATTTTCGCAAAATAACCATGTAGGTATACATCACGACCCGTTGACATTTCCATCTCCAAAAAGTCCACGGAATTTCATTCTGTTAACTAAATCTAAATTCTTAATTACTAGGTATATAGGCGCCGTTCACAATCAAACTTGTGTTTTGCTTTTTACGTTTCGTATTCAGATTGGAGAACTGGAGAAGCATAATCATGGTATAATCTGTGATTAAAGTGAAGCAAAATCTCATTCAGTTTCATTTCATCTCAACTATATTATGATATCAACGAGACAGCCAGCAAGCAAAACCTCGGTTTTATCACTTCATCCCCAAATGAATTGAATATAATAATCACATCAACTGTCGACTGTCAACAGCACTAATATTAATAGTATAATAATAGCGTTAATGCACTCACTCAACACATAACTTTTACAATCCATCAGCCTTGAAAAATGCAAGTCATATGAATTATGGATTCCCTTTCGTGCACCCCAAGGGATACAAAAAATATACACATCAACTTTACCCCATGATGATCGACATCATTATCTTCGACACACTGTATATACAATTATTGTAGAGGACCAATCCTGGAAAACCGAATATTGGGAAAGATCCTCAATGAGGTGTGAAAATATGGAATTGAAAGAGGATTTATAATGCCCTGGAATCATCAAAACAATTGGGAACAAAAACACCATCATATGTTCTATAATAGAATGATAATGGGGGAGACCACTGATTTTTTAAAATGACATTATCGTGAACTATATACTGAAAAACTACCGGCGAATTAATTTTGAATTTTGTCATTCATGCTATGACGATGGAAAAAATAAATTAGAATATGTCAATTTCAAAACACACAATTTCTGCGCCATTTGAAATTTTGTCAATTCATTGGTGTGATTGGTGCGACGTCTTATTCCCAACACGCCTATTGTCCTTGAACTGACCAATCACACTGCAACACTGCAGAATGACGAGGTATCCGAGAGAGATAGCTACAGTTCGAAACTGATACGTCACGACTCCACCATCATATTTGGCTGTTTGAAATATCGAATGAAATATGCTGATTTCAAAACGATATAGATTCGATTCCCTTCAACTTTGACTCATAATATCGATTGTACATCAAACGTAAATCATGATTCGTCGATTGAAAGAGGTTTGCACGGATTTCTTCTCTCAGTGGTCTTCCCCATTCTCCCTGAAGATCTATGGTTCTTACAATTCCCATCAAAATTAGAGATTCCAATTATGATGAAGTTTCGCCTCTATCAAACTTTCTTCAAATTAGCTGGAATGTTAATATTTCAATTTCTCCTAAATACACCTCTCCAGTAGCCAAAAGTATAGAAAACATTTTCGTCAGAAGTAGTTGTCCGATTCCAATGTTTTTCATTTTGAAAGACAGGTTATTTTCTTCAGAACATTGTTATGCAAACTGTATTCCCGTAATTCTCAAAGACTACCTAGACTACCCAGAGAATTCCCAGACATCCCAAAGAATTCCCAGACTTCCCAAAGAATTTCCGGACTCCCCAAGAAATACTTCGACTTTTATATTGCCATTTTCATTTTGAACTCATATTATGTTCGATATACAAGACAGAGTGACAAAGTTTGAGTATATCGATTTCTAATTTAGTTGATATTTCACAAATTTAATTAGTTAATTGTACCCTTTAGTGCAAATAAATTCAGAAGTTCAGATGAATTCCTTCGACTTATTTTTTCCTCTTGCTTCACTTCGATTGGGTAAATCTAAGGACAAAACTGATACCGAGACTGATACACTGAAAAAACGTGTATTGTGAAAAGTGATAAAGGCGGATGAACGGAAATGATATGAAATATCTCAAATATAATTGGGATTTCATTTCGAGCGCTCCAAAAGATTTAAAAAAAGTTGAATTGATTTTATTTGATAAAGAGTGCATGTGATTGTGAATAAGTTCTAATGAATTCAACACCGCCAGTAGTTTGCCATTTTGAAATTTAACAAAACACAAGCTTCGAAAAATCGCAATTATACAGACTACCCAAGGAATTCCCAGACTTTCCAAAGGAACACGGACCACCCAATGAATTCTCGGACTTCCCAAGGAATTTCTGGAATTCCCAAAGACTACCCGGACTTCCGAGGAATTCCCGTCTCGGGTACATTGGACTTCCCACGTGATTTACCCCTCGCCTGCTACCTTCTTGCTTGGTTTTCTGTTTCGGGCAAGAAGCTGTTTCACTTCCATGCAGCTGCTTACGCTCTATAAGGCACACATCCGACCTGTCCTGGAATACTGCTCCCATATTTGGAGTGCAGCACCCAAACATATACCCTGAAACTGTTGGATTCTGTCCAAAAAAGGGCAATTCGCCTCGTGGGTGATGCCTCGCTCACAAACTCACTCACTTCTCTGGAACACCGTAGAAAAGTTGGCAATCTGGCTCTGATTTTTTAGATATTTTCATGGACGATGCTCTTCTGAAATATCAACAATTGTTCCTCCCTTGGCAGTCCCCGCGAGATTAACCCGTCGAGTTGAGGCTTCGCACCCCTTCATGGTCACTTTGTAAACCTGTAGAACATCTCTTTCCAAAGACTCGTTCATCCAACGAACAGCGAGGCTCTGGAACACATTGCCAAGTGAGGTGTTCCCCGAGGCATATAACCTCCAGAAACTTAAGAAGAACACCAATTCCTACATTAAATCCCTTGGTTCTCACGATGTTCTCTGAACATTACAGGATATTCCTTCTCGTGGAAACCCAAAACATAAAAAAAATGCCCACTGAATTCAATAAGATCATGTTATGCTATAAAATTGTGTTGCTGGAGAAATAGGAAAGATAATAGAGAAAATCCAAAAGGGGAATGTTGAAAAAAGATAAGTGTACTTTCAATTTCAACTTATTAGTTAAATACAATTTGCATACCAATGAGGAAATAACCTGGCATTCAAAACAAAAAACGTGCGAATCTGACCAGCAGTTTTGATGAGTGTTTCCTAAACTTTTGGCTACTTTTTGGTGGTGTGTTAATTTCTTGGAGAAGTGTATATCACAAATATACTACAAATTAGAAAAAACAGGCTTTTTGTAGTTAATACTATGATTTTTCCGTGATAACAGATGGAGTACATACAATAACATTAGGTTAGGTATTTCTCTATTTTCACCAAGAAGAAAAGCACATATTTTTCTGAGAATAATCAGCTTTTCGCTCAGTTCAATTCCAAATGTCACCTCACCACCAATCAGAAAACGAACCATAAAAAGCAAAACGTAAAAACCTTGGTCGCTTTGTCATCACCTTCGACCACGTGTCCTGCGCCCGGCGGTCGGTCACCTGTTGCGGCGCGACGCCCGTCGGAGAACGATTCGGGGCGCCGTTTCCGATCGGATGCACCTGTGCTCGTGTACGCGGAGAACGTCCGGTTCCACCTACGTGTGGCGATGCGAGCACCGACTGACGTGACGGGGCGGCCGACGAACGTCGTCGACAGCGGTACGGGGGGCCGGTGGTGGGAATCGGTGGCTCTCTAACACGCTACGGGGTGATTCGATTCTGTATCTATGACTATGACATACAGCGTGTTTCACTTCTAATGGAAACACCCCTGTATCTTATGTATTGGTTGGGTGAGGATCCTGAAATTTGCTTGGAGCGAAAGATATACCAAAAACAGGCGCGTGCCTGAGGGGGGGTAATGGGGTAATTACCCCCCCCCCATGACCACGATGATGATGAAAAAATTTGAACATTCCTTATTTTCAAACTTAAAAAATGATGATGATGAAGACACAACGATGGGCTTTCACACCTGTCTTGTAGTCTTCAGGCTTCTAGTCACAACATTAAATTATAAATTTCGCAATCAGGGTGGCGCATTATGGAGTTGAGTGTTGAGTGAATCTGAAACGTCTTTATACCGTAGATTATCATCAGAACTGGAACTATGGATAATTGAATGGAAGAATTGTCATGAAAAACCTCATACTGGAATCGATTCATTATTGAAGTGTGATAAAAATATTTACCCTTTAATTTACACTATTTTACAAATTCAAGTGACATTACCGGTATCTGTCGCTTCGGCAGAACGCAGTTTCTCGACTTTAAGAAGACTGAAAACCTATATTAGATCAACCATGTCGGACACTCGTTTAACAGGACTTGCCTTGCTGAATATACATCGGGATATGAAAATTAATATAAATAATATCATTGACAGATTTAGTGCTAAAAAACAAAGAAATATGGAATTTACAATTTGATACCATTCATTTATCATTTATAGGTAACCTATTTTTATTATTTTGTCTGTTTTGTTATGTTTATATATTTTTAGTTGTACATTCTCTCATTTTTGAGTTATTGTTTTCGTTTTGAAGAATATTCTGCTAATTTATTTTCAGTTACACATTTACTTATTTTTCAGTTATTATTTTTGTGTTGAATGATATTCTCTTTATTTATTTTTACATTCTTTTATATTCGAGTTATTGTTCTCGTTTCGAAGAATATTTATTCTGTTATTTATTTTTAGTTATACATTTTTTTATTTTTGAGTTATTGTTTTCATTTTGAAATATATTCTGTTTATTTATTTTTACACTCTCTCATATTCGAGCTATTGTTCTAAAGAACATTTTGTTAATTTTTTTTAAGAATTAAATATGAATGCCTTAGTGTTACTGAAGTTTAACTTTTTAAAACGTAGGAAATATTGGTCCTGAAATGGGTGATTACCCCCCCCATGAAATTACCCTAGGCACGCGCCTGACCAAAAATGTACTCTATGACGTAGTGGGGCCATCTTCAGTGATATACACTGCTCGCCAACAGTCATGGAACCACTACAATTTCCGGAAAATGATATTCGGAGGCAAACTAGATTGAAAATCACTTCGGATTCGGAATCAGGACGCCCAATACACTAACTATGCATATTTTTCTTGGACGATTTTAAGTTCTGAAAATTTCATTTTTGTGTTACTTTTCATGGAAAAATACCCGTATCTCACGTAATCGTTGGGTTTAGATCCTGGAAATTTGCAGAAGCGAGAGATACAACTAAAATGTACTATATGACCAAGTGGGATCATCTTCAGTGATTTACACTGCTCGCCAACAGCCATGGAATCACCCCAATTTCCGGAAAACTATCAAATAGTATATCAGTGAACTCGTTGAGAAATTCTCTTTCAAATGATTCAAAAATATATGGGGTGTTCTATTCAAAATAAGGAAGATGATAATAATTTCGGAAAAACTGATAACGTGGCAACATTGGCGATATAATTATTCGAACCGCCACATTTTCAAATCCCCATGTATGAAAATTCAGAAAGATCTAACGACTGAATACTGATATACAGGGTGTTCCATAATTGAATGGTGATCCTAAAGGGCGATGATCCTTGGATGATTTTGAGGAGAGAAGTTCATATCAACATATGTCCTGAACCTCTTAGTTTTTGAGCTACAGGGTGTTGAAATCAGAAGCGTACAGCGTTTTTTTAAACAAAACATTCAATATCAGGTCTACGAGGACATCACTGGTAAAAGTAAAATTTTGATTTTCGTCCCAAAACGAAATATGTTTCCACTCATAGTGGGTGTCTACTGAATTACCAAAAACAATATCCAAGAATTGAAGGAACAAAATTCTTTGGTTTTTATTTTTTTACGCGAAAACGGTACGTTGTATGAAAGTGCGTCTAGGAACCAAACGAGGAACCAAATTTGCTCCAAAATGAATAAGAATTGAAAAAAAAATCTGGTTCTCAGATAAATCAGTGGCGTACTATTTTTTTCTTCAAAAATTGTCAGTTCAAACCCCGTACGGACGCCACTGGTGAGAATTTTTAAATATCTTTCACGTTAAAAAATGCTCCTCAATAATGAAAAGGTGTATACAAAATATCATAATGATATCTAAGAGTGATCAAAAATTATGATGAAAAACTCATTTTTTTCTTGAAATTTCATCACCCTGTAGATCAATAACTAAGAGGTTTAGGACATATGTTGATATGAACTTTTCTCTTTGAAATCATCCAAGGATTATCGCCCTTAAGGATCAGCATTCAATTATGAAACACCCTGTATATCGTTCTCAGCTTTCAATGCTATTGCATACAGTGTGTCTCACTTATAATGGAAACAACCTTGTATCTTACGTTTTGGTTGGGTAAGGATCCTGAAATTTGCTGGAGAGAGAGATATACCAAAAATGTACTCTATGACCAAGTGGGGTCATCTTCAGTGATATACACTGCTCGCCAACAGTCATGGAACCACCCAAATTTCCCAAAATTGATATAAGGAGTCAATATAGGTTGAAAATCTCACTTCGGATTCGGTATCAGGGCGCCCAATTCACTAACTATTCATATTTTTCATGTACACATTTACATTTACATTTATTTTTAATGTGCGAGATATTCGCATTGAAAGTTTTCCCTCAATATATATATAATATTCATTTTGTTATGTGTCACATAATATGGAAGGAGTATCATTAACTTATTCTTAAATGGTTCCATGTTCGAAATATTTGTATGTCACTTTCATAGTTTTTTTATTACATTGATGGTTGCCTAAACTACAATATTCTTGAATTATCCTACCCAAAAAAAAAAGGCATCGATCCCATTGTCTCATTGGGCATTAATTCAACATTCAACGTACATACATCTCCCACTCTATTTTACATACAATGAACGACGAAATGACACATCAGACTCATAAACATAAACGTACAACTTTATTAACTTTATGATAAGTTGGCTATTTTGAAATTGTCATTGCGAGACGTATTATTAGTTATTACTATTATTCAGGCTGGGCCGCACCCAAAGTGCATTGTTGAGCACCATTTGGATTTTTCCATTCGTTATTTAGTTATTCAAATCCTCAACACTTATGGAATTCTTTGGCAAGGCAGGCGGCTTTTGAACATGATATATGCGCCTTTTCGTTATCATTATAAGGGGTAGCTGATTCATTTTAATTTTTGTCTTGCCATTTTGTATTGGATACTGACTGTAGGTTAATCGAGGAGGTGGTACATTCATTATTTCAAATTTTTTGGGATTATCTCTCCTCGTTTCTATAAAATAAAAATATGAATACATATCAATATACGTGTAGTAAGGACAAATCAGATGATTTGCCCCAAAATGTCACTGCTTTCAAAGAATTTTCCTATTAGAGAACCATAAAAAAATTCACTAGCTTGTCAGCGACAATTTGTATTGAAAAATGTTTGGAGAAGAAAAATAAAGTTATATTAAAAAAATATAAAATTTTCACTTAGCTTTGGACGTTACGGGAACGAATCTGCTCCCGTTTTCAACATAAAAAATGTTTTTTTTTGTATGGGAAATTCGTATTCGTCTTGACACTTTCCAATTCTCAGTGACAATTGGTGACGTTAGCAGTCGAATGAGTTACAGGATGTTTTCATTAATTAATCTTGAATTTACCATTTTCATTTTCAGATTCCAGTAGTGAATACCATGTTCTATCTAAACTACTCAACACTAATTTCGTCGCACACCAAAATGTCGCCCCTGTTATAATGTGAATAACTTTTTTCAGTTTAGAACAATTTTAATTTGGTTCACACTGTTCGATAGCCCAGTCCTTCAGCTATAATCTCGTACTTCATTGAAACATAAGGGTATTCACATAAAATCTCTACATGGTGTTTTCCGACATTGTGCAAAATTTCGGAATATTCAAAAGGCTCTCAAATGGTGGAAAAAATTGTTTTCTCAACTTCGACAACAGAGGCATGAAGATGATCTCATTACCTCGAGATATTTCGCGAATCAATTTCATATCTCTCTTATTTACAGAGTGATCTCAAAAAATCAACTTTCTGGTTTTGCAGCCATAACTTTTTTCTACGTCAACCGATTTTGGAAATCTTAGGCTCATTTTGAAGATAACACTCCAGATGAAGAGATCTGAATATCATAATTGACTCAAGATGGCTTTCAAAGATCTAGAGTTTTCTTGAAAGTGACCCAAATCTGGAACGCCCTCCGAATCTTGGTTGGGAGGAGAATTGAATGAAAATCAATTTGTTCTCGGAAAAACAAGTCATTCTGGATGCGCCCATATTTTCCTCGCTCTCAGTAGTCAAGAATTTTGCGTGAGAAAACACAATTGAAACATATTCTTGCAAAAACATTAGATCATTTCTCCTCTGTAATGCATGGCGCGCCGTAACCAACGTTACAAGAATCACAATGAGTGACTGACAAACCCGACTAGCTGAGGCTCATCGTAAATGGTGTACCAACAAGAGCAACGGATTTTGATTTTTTTTGATAAAGTGATTTTTAAACAGTTGTCACGTACATAACATGCGATTCAAGAATATGGAAAAGTATTCAAGCGAACAACGTTTATTTATTGTAAAAACGCATTTAAAAGATGGTGAAAGTTTCACGAAAACAGTTTGCCAATCGCAATAATCAATCGCAATAATGCGCCGAACGAATCGACAGTAATAACCA